CCTGGGCCCGGGATCAGCCTGCGGGCCTCAGCCCCGGCCCGGGCCCGCCCTCGCTGGGGCCGCCCGTCCCCGCTGCCAGGGGCGCACCCCGGCTTCCCGCCTGGGCCGGCGCCGCGGGTGTTCGGTTTGGTGGGGGAGGCCGACGCCCTCCTGCCAACAAGTGAAAACAGACGCATTTGCACGTGGGAAGCGTGTAAGAAGCTGGGAGCTGGGAGCCGATCCCACAGCCTCCCCCAACGCGGCCCAGTCCAACGCCTGCGGCCGCCGCTCGCCCTGGGGCTGGCGGGAAAACTCACTTGGCTTTTCCTGTACGATGGCTATAGTAGCACTTCTTTGTTTTTAACTTCATTTGAAACAATGCTGTTAATTTGTGTTGTGGCAGCCGTCCTATCAGCGTGCATTTAAAGAACACTTAGCAAATTGGTGAATTTTTGTGCAGCCATTTTAACACTGAAGATGGAAGAAAATAAGCAACATTTTCAGTGCATGATGCTTTATTATTTCCAGAAAAACAAAAACGCAACTGAAACGCAGAAAAAAAAAATTTGTGCAGTGTATAGAGAAGGTGCTGTGACCGATCAAATGTGTCAAAAGCGGTTTGTGAAGTTTCGTGCTGGAGATTTCTTGCTGGAGATTTCGTGCTGGGCGATGCTCCGCGGTGGGAAACATCAGTTGATGTTGATAGCGATCCAACCGAGACATTGAGAACAATCAACGTTCTACCATGTGGGAGAGAGCTGACACACTCAAAATATCCCAAATCAATAAAGTTATTGGTGAAAATGAAAAATGTGTCTTTTATGGAAAAAGCAACAGATTTTTAAAAATTTTTATTGATTATGCTATTACAGTTGTCCTGATTTTTCCCCCTTCTCTCCCCCTCCTGCACCCCCAGGCAGTCCCCCCACCATTGTTCGTGTCCACGGGTCACGAGTGTAAGTTCTTTGGCTGCTCCGTTTCCTCTGCTGGACTTGCCATCCCCGCAGCTCTTCTGCTACTACCTGTTTGTGCTTCTTAATCCCCTCGCCCCTCGTCCATCCCCCACCCCCTCCCCTCTGGCAGTGACTAACTGCTTTTCTCGGGCTGCTTTTAAGATTCTCTCTCCATCTTTAACCTTCGGCATTTTAATCACGATGTACTGCGGGGTGGCCTCTCTGCATCCATCCTGTTTGGGACTCTCTGAGCTTCTTGGTCTTACATGCCCATTTCCTTCACCAAATTAGGGAAGTTTTCTTTCATTGTTTTTCAAATAGATTTCCAATTTCTGGCTCTGTCTCTTCTCCTTCTGGTGCCCGTCTGGTGCCAATGTTGGGCCTCTTGACGTTGTCCCAGGCTGTTTACACTTATCTTTCTTGTGGTGGAGGGATTCTTTTTTCTTCTTCTTGTTCTGTGTGGTTGTTTTTTGGTTCCTTATGTTCCAAATCATTGATTAGATTCTCAGTTTCTTCAACTCTACTCTTGTTTCCCTGTAAATTGTTCTTTATTTCCATTATTTCCATTAGTGTCTCCTTCTCTCCTTTCTGACTGGATCTTTTATATGCTACTGAGGTCCTGACTGAGTTCCTTGAGCATCTTTATAACGAGTGTTTTGAATGCTATGTCTGATACATCGCTCATCTCCATTTTGTTTAGCTCTTTTTCTGGAGTTTTGATCTATTCTTTCATTTGGGCCATGTTTCTTTGTCTCCCCATTTTGGCAGCCTCCCTGTGTTGGTTTCCATGTATTAGGTAGAGCTGCTTTGACTCCGTGTCTCGGTCGTGTGGCCTAATGTAGACGGTGTGCTGTAGGGTCCAGTGGCCCAGGCTCCCCTCTCACCCAAGCTGAGTACTCAAGGTGCGCCCTTCGTGGGGGCTGAGTACACCCTCCTCTTGCAGTTGGGCCTCGGTTGCCATTGGCAGGTCAATGGGAGAAATTCACTCAGGTCAGTCAGCTGGAAAGACTGGCTGCGACCACTGACCACCAACCTCCGCCCTCTGGGGACGATCAGCTGTGCAGGGGCAGGGTGGTGGTTCTCTGACTTGGTCTGTAGCTGTCCTCTGGGTGCGCTGGCCCTGGGGTTTCCCGGGTGGCGCAGGCCAAGGTCAGCCCCGACCTGTGTTTTGCCCGGAGCCACCCGGCCTGAGCTGTAAAGCAACCTGAGGTGGCTGCTGCTGGTGCTGGGCTTCGAGATTCCCAGGGGAAGCCAAGCTGTGAATCTATTCCGGCCGCCGCTAGGGCTCACGGCCGCCAGCCATTGCTTGTTTGATAGGATTTAGGAGCCAAGACCCGCCATTCACGTGGAAAAGCAGCCTGGGCGGGCCAGTCAGTTGGGTGGCGTGCAGCCTCTGGGGGTCTCCAAGGCGGGTCACACCGAACGAGCCAGGGCGGTGGAGTCTCAGATTTGGCACCAGCCTACGGGCTCTGTGGGGGGAGGGCTCGGCAAAGGGACAGTGGCCTCTGCGCGCCCTGATGCCAGACTCTCCCGTCTCTCCCTGTGTACAGCTGGGGCCCTTCAAGGTGCCACCCTGGAGCTTGAGTGGTTGGAGCCCAGAGGGGCGAGTCGAGGCGGTGAGTCCCCAGGAGGAACTGCTTGGGGCTCCAGCAGCCTCCTCCACCGACTCAACCTGGCTTTGCGGCCAGAGGTTGTGGGGGCTCATCTTCCTGGCGCTGGAACCCTGGGCCCAGGGCCTGGTGTGGGGCTGGGGCTCCTTGCTCCTGAGATGACCCTCCTGAATTTTTACCCCCCACATGGGTGAGGGACCAGCCCGTTCCGTGTCTGCGCCCCTCCTTCCAGCCTGGATGGATGAGGTTTCTTCAATCCCATAGTTATCAGACTTCCATTCTACTCGATTTCTGACATTCCTGAGTGATGGTGGTTTTATATTTTAGGTGTAATTTTGATGTGGTTGTGTGAAGAGGCGAGCCGCGCCTGCCTACACCACCACCTTGACCGGAAGCCTTAAATGGATTTTTCGGGCAATCCCGTGAAATGCAACCCCTCTCCGCTTGGTCCCCAGAGATGTCCCCGGGCATTCCGACGGGAGTCCAGGATGGGGAGGCAGAGGCCAAAGTTCACAGTGATGGTCACAGGCGGTCAGTCACACAGAGTGGCTGTGTCCTTCTGGTTTGACACCAAGATGACAGCGTGGCCTTCTCTACCTCTAAGTCATTGGGTGTGGCGTGTCTCATTCATGACTCATACATTAAAAAAAAGTTTAAATTAATGGTGTGGGAACATTTGCCTTGACACTAAGGGGCGGCGCTCTGCCCAAGTTAAGCTCCATGGAAATTTCAGCAACAGCGAATCGGAGCGGAAGGAAAGGCTGCCAAGGCGGCCATCAGAAACCACTGTTAGGGGTGTCATTTACTGGGGTGATCACGTGAACTCTCTGATTGCTTGTCTTTGGCAAAACGACATAGGTTTTGGTGTTGGCAACAACAATTCTCAAAACCATGTTAGAGAATCTCCTGTGGGAAAACCGTCAGGTTCTCAGCGCAGGCGAATGTTGGAAGAGCAAAGAGGAAGCCGCTTGCTCAGTATTTTCAGCAGGCGGCTTCGCTGCGGCCGTGGGACAGGGGATGCCCCAGCCCGGAGGTCCCACGGCTGCTCTGGGAGGCGCAGGCTTGGCCCACGCGCTCCTGTGCGTTTCTCCCTGGGCAAAGCTCAGGCGCGGAGCCCCTGACTGCGGGGCCGGGAGACGCGGGAGCCGGGCCTTGGTGACTAGAGGGACCGCCCAGCGCAAGTCCCTGGGATTTTTGCGTTTCAGTGAAGACATTGTGGGATCGAAAGCATTTTTGCAGTGTGCCTACTTTCTGCCTAATTTTCAAAGGTAAATTCATGGAGCTTTTCCAGACTCACATGATATGGCTAATTATTTCTCTCAGGGATGGAGAGTCCTCATATTATTAGATTAAAGCTTTTAACTTTTAGTTTTCCTGATGAATTATATTTCCTTAGCTTCACAAAGTCCAGGAAGCATGATGCCAAAAAGAACCGGCAGGCCGGCTGACCACGGCCTGCGTCGGTACATGGGGTTCTGCCGGGGCCCGGCCCGCCCCGCGGCTCGCGTCGGCCCGGCTGGCTCTGTGCTGCCAGGCCCAAGTGGCCGTTTATGGAAAACGCGTCAACGCCGTATGGCAGTGATTTTCCATCTTTTTGTTGCTTTACCTCATAGCATGCATGAGCTAATTCCTAAAATTTTGCAGCACACCAACAACTATATATTTTTTGCCAATCTGACAAAAAGTAGGTAAATTGTAATTGATTTACAAAAATGACGATAGTAACTGCCTACACTTTTTATTCCAAAGCGACTTTAAAAACTCAGGTGCCTGTACTTGTGTATATGGATTTCTGGCACCCAGATGTAACTAATCAGATGAAACCTTCTTATGCAGCGCGACCAGTGAGATGCAGCTCTGTTACATGGCCTATGTATTCACATTCCGAGGCAGCGGTCGCATCGCTGGCGGCTGTTGTGTTGGCTGCCGTCATTGTTCCATTGACGATCTCAGGGGAAGAAGACAGTGCCGCTGACTCTATAGTCCGTAGTGCATGTTTTAAAACTTTTTGTGAAACACTGGCTGAAAATTGCTGCCTTATATAAAGCCATGTTCCAAAAAACAGAGGTATGAAATACTCTTTTCCACAGAATCCAACACATTCTTTCTTATCCCACTTACCATAGAGCTGGAAGTAGCTCAGCAAGAGATTATGGTCGGCTCTGAAACCTAAGGAGTTAAAAAAAAAATGCCACACTAATGCCAGGAGCAATTTTAAGATTGGAGTGACCAGTGAGATTCTTTTATTTTTTCCATGGTACCATAAGATTGAAGGGTAACAAATGTTTCACACTAAGTTTAAGGACACATTGTGAACCCTCAGTTGGACAGTCAGAGTCTGTTATTGCCAAGATAGTGTTAAGAAGCTTGTAACAAGAGAGCATTCAGGGGGTACGTAAGAAACCAAAGATTGTTTGTCCGCGTGCACAGCAGCGCAGGAGCGGAGTCCAGCGGACCGTGCGCCCCGGGCGTGGGCACAGAGGTGCCGAGGGCACAGAGGGAGCGCCCGGCGCTCACAGGGACGAGGTCCTGTTGTCCGCAACGTAGTGGACAGACCTGGGGGCCTTATGCCAGAGAAGGGCCAACGCTTTGTGGTCTCACCGAAAATCTTGAAAAACAGAAAGAAAGAAGAAGTCAATCCACAGAAACCGAAATAGAAAAGTGGAATCGGCCAGGGCTGGGGTCAAAGACATCGGGACAGGTTGGTAAAAGGGGATACATTTTAGTGATAAAATGGAATTCAGAGCATCTAGTGCATGACACGGTTGCCGTGGTTGGCGGCACTGGGTTATGGGCTGAAGTTCGCTCTAAGGGAGTAGAGCTTAAATGTCACACACACGCACGCACACCCCCAGCGGAGGTAAACGTTAACTGGGGAGGGACCCTTTCACAGCGTGTCATGTGACCAGTCACTCTGCTGTAGACTTTAAACATGTTACCATTTTATTTGTCAGCTATACCTCATGAAAGCTCGGGGGGTCGGGTGGCGAATGGTCCAGACGGTTTTAAAGAATTCCAGGTCACGTCCTTATTCCCTGATGTAGGTTTTCCGCCTTCAGAAGAATTGAATAGACGGGCGGGTGCCAGCGAGGAGGCGGCGGAGGGGTGGGCGAGAAGGGGTGAAGGGCGCAGAGTCTCCACAACTGCGGCAACCGCGCGCGGGGGCAGGCGGCGACGAGACTTAGCGTGGGGGACACTGTGCTGTACCTCCGAAACTCACGCCGTGGTGTGTGGCGACTGTACCTAAATGGCAAAGAGTAGATTTTTCCTAATTCGTTTGGGTGCTTCTGTTTCTGATTTACACTGTAAATCACATGAGGTAACAAAAGAGAAGGTTGTTGGAACGACATGCGGTTCCGTTCATTGGACGGGGGTGCACTGAGGGTGCAGGCGTCCCCTGTGGTGGGGGTCACCCCGCGCCCGCCCCCCCAGGCCCAGCCGCGCCCCCCCCCCCAGGGTTTCTGAGAGCGCCTGCGAGTTAATGTTTACCAGCTGCTCCCGTGTCCCAGGCTGAAGGAGGCCCCGCCGAGAGCAGTGGCCCAGCTGGGACTTGGAGGCTGTTCAAAAATCCAGCCCAGCAAGTCTAATGGTTTGTTTGCAACCTTTATTTAGCCTCCTTCTGCTCTCAAGAAACCTGAGAGCGCACTGAGGAAGTTTATACCAAAGGAAGCGGGGAAAATGGGCATTGTTCTCGCAGTGTTTTGTTGGGGCTTCCGCGGGGCAGGAGCGTGGGTGAAGAGCAGGGGAGCGCGCCGAGCGTGCAGAGAGGCCGCGGCTGCAGGCGCGAGCCAGCCGGGCGCGGGCCTCCCGCCGCCTCCGCGCAGAAGCGAGTGTCGCCAGAGCCCTTGAAATAGCTGTGAACGGGCTTGGCCTCGGTTCAGCCGAGGCCAGCGAGGACGACGTGCCGGGGAGATGTTTTTGTCCCCCCCGGACCGGGCAGCTGTCGCTGCTGCCAGCGGGAGGGGGGGCGCAGAAGCGCGGGCTCTGTGGGAATGAGCGGCAGCGCTGCTTTCTCCACCGAAACCCGCTGGCCTCCCTGCGCGCCCTGCTGCGCGGAGCGCTGGCTGCGCCCGGGGCTGCCTGCGGCAGAACCTCCTCCGGGCGCTGGCACGTATTTACCCCGCCCGGCAGGGCCCCGGCGCCGCCGCCCAGCCAGCTTTTTATAGAACCAGGTGATAACACCTTTCAAAGTGCCGGTGGGAGAGGCGAGTGTTTACCGGCCTGAGATGTCCTTTAATTAGTGTTTGTCTCAGGGCCGGGTGACACGGTGGCTAATTGCCCTGACACAGAACAGGCTGAGGTGCTCGCGGAGGGGAGGAGGCCGCGGCCACAGGCAGGCCGCCTGCTTCGGCGGGTGCGTCTAAATGAGCTCGATGCGCCCTGAATTAGCTCGGACCCAGACAGGCGCTCAGCTACCCTGCACTTAAATAGCCTCCCCCGCGGCCCAGACGCGAGGGGCCGGGCTCTGTCGCATCTCGCGGGGCGGGCGGCCTGCGGGCGGCGGTGCGGGGCGCGCTGCGCGGCGTGGGCGGAGGCCGGCGCGGGGGACGCCCGCCGCCGCCACGGGGCTGTGCGGGGCGACTCGGGGACAGGGCGCCGGCTCCTTCTTACCCACGGGCTGGGCCGTCGCTGCTCGGGGGCCCTGGGCGACGTCGCCGTGGCTTCAGGCTGCATCGGCCTGGGCGAGCAGTTCAGTGTGTTGCTTGTGTCCCCGCAAAATGAGCTTGACACCTGCGTGTCCAGGCTTTTCCTTAGGACCCAGCACAACGCACGAGGCATGTCCCCCGTGGCGACACGGCGGTGCTGGGAGAAAGACGGCTGCACAGGTGCCACCCGTGCTGCGCGGTTCGCGCTTATTTCTGTGCAAGGGACTTGGGAGGCGGCGGCTCTGGGCCCGTTCGCCGCCGACAGGAGCGAGGGCGTTCGCGCCCGTGTCCCCCTCTCGCCTGAGGAGGATTTTAAAGGAAAGAGAAGGAGGCGGCAGGAGAGACAGGGGAGACCAGGCGCTGTCCCGGGCCCGGGAGCGGCGCGGATGTGCACAGTTTCTTTCGGATCCATAAATTCGGGGGAGTTTTGTGGGTTCAGTTTGTGATTCATCTGATAACCTGAGCGCAGGCTGCAAGTTTCCCTGGCAACCGGCCTTAGTAATGCGCACAAGGGGTGGCCGTTGATTGGCAGCCGGAGGTGGCAGCTGCCGCCTCCGCTGCCGTCTCCATGGTAACGGGGCCACGCGCCATGGGGCGGGGGGTGGGGGGACGCACGTGCCGCAGCAGCGCGTGTGTCGCGGGGCCCAGACACCCGCTGCGCGGGCGGGTCGCAGGGGTCCCTGGGGGCGGCCAGCCCCGCTGCTGACACGCAGTTGCTGCGACTTGGAGGCCGGTGTCGTCGTCCTCGTCGTCGTCGTCCATCCTCCGCGCCGCCCGCGTGGGGGGTGGGGGTGTGCGGGTCACGTGCACGGCCGCCCGCACAGCTGTGCACGTGCGAGTGGCACGTGGATGTTTTCCATGTGCGACGTGGGGCCAACACTGTCCGCGTGAGAAACGGCTGTGGGGGCGCTTGTCCGCGGCCGGAAGGAGGGGACACGGACGCGAGGCGCAGGTGCCGCGGGAGGCTCGGTCCACGCGCCGCCTCGCGCTGCCGCCGCGGCCTGTGCCGGGCGATGCCCTGGTACCAGGCCCCGGTCGCCGCCCTGTCTCGCGCTGCTGTTTTCCTGCTTTGATGGAGCTGCCGTGGGCGCTTCCTGTTTTTCACTGTGGGCACGTTGCCTCCAGCCCCTGAAGCGAAGTGGAATTACTTTCCGATCATGAACGGTCGCGAGTGGGTCGTGGTTAGTCTTTCCCATCGTCCAAAGGCCCCGTCGCGCCTTGGAGGCGAGAACAACGCCCTGGGCGAATCGCCCCAATAAAGGGCCGTGCGAACCCCGGGAGCGAGGCCAGCGAGGCCCACGGCCGCCGCCTGGACGCCCCGGCCTTCCCGTCTGCTGCCCTGCAGCCTCTGGGAAAGCCGAATAGCCACCCAACTTGGAAAACAAGTTTAAAACCCCTCTTCCTTAGCCGTTCTCATCTGCACGACAGGGCCCCGCGTCCCTAGTCTCGGGCTCATAAATGCTCCACCACCTGCTCTTCAGGGGGAGAGGTTTGCTCATGTGCAGAATTCAGCGGTTTCTGTGGCGTAAATACCCCGCCAGCACCAACCTCACCCCTTCGGCGTGTTCTCAGTGAACGCGGAGCCGGACAGAGACGCCCACGGCCACGCTCACCAGCGAGGCCGCCCCGGCTCGCGCTCCTGACACCCCTGGAACTGGTTCCGAGCCCCAGGGGAGGCGCCCAGGGCAAAGCACCAGGCACGTCACAGGCTCCGAAGATCTTAGCTCTTTTCCCTCCCAGGGAAGAACCCTCCTCATTTATTTATTTTTGAAAAATTAACAACCTTGTTCATATACCATACATTTCATACATTCAATTCTCCGTTCTTTTAATGTCTGTTGTTGGCCATCCTGTGCACCTAACATTTATTTCTGCAAAATTAATTTGCATGTGCAGTCGTTTTAAAATATGCCAACAAATCTTTTGATAGATTTTTCTTAAAAACGTGGGGCCTAATCTGCCTCCTCTCACGTGTGAGCTGTACCTACCGACTGTGAACTGGGGTGGAACCACAGCGCCTGGCGGCCAAGACTTCGCCCTAAAAGGCCCTGCGGTTTCTCCTCGCTGGGTCCCGCGAGCCTCCCCCTTGGGAGAAGGTGGCTGTCATACTGCGAGCCACCCAGCAGCCCAGGGTCCCCCACCCCGCACCCCAGACCCTGTGGACAGACGTGTGGGGACAACACTGGAGGCCCCCGGCCTATTGCACACTTAGTGCCGTTCAATTATGGAGTAATTTGTTGCACAGCAATAGATAAGCAACATGAGCGTAGTTCGAAGTCTCACTGCCTTCCGCCCCATCATAAAGCCTGCAGGGGGCGCCTCACTGCTCCCACGCAGTGGCCAGAGCTCGCGGCCGTCAGAGCCACTGCGAAGGGCCGGCTGGTGCACGTGCGTCAGTGGCTCCTCGTGGTCACGGGCCTGCTGCTTTTCGCTAACAGCCACCTGATGAGCTAGGATCTGGGAAGTCGTGGGAAAATGGGCTTCTGCATGACCCGGAGGTCAGCTTCATTCGGTTCCTGGAAGCACAAGGGGTTTGCTGAGTGGTGGCATCAACCCAAATTCCTGGAAGCTCAGGCACCAAAATTAGGGGCTGTTCCTGAGGCCTCGCAGGGCCGTTGGTGCCAGAGAGAGATGACCCACATTTCCTTTCCTGGAAATATCTTTGAAGTCCTTTGTGTTGCTTGAAGCTTCAAGTGGGATTTTTCTTTTTATAGTAAGACCTAGTAAAGAGATAGAAAAAGTAAATTTTTTAAGCAGTGAAGCATATCTGGCCTATATTTTATCTCGAGTTTCATACTTTGGCTGGTAGATTATAAATATGGTCCACGTGTGTCTTGCTTTCAAACGCTGCAAGACTGACAGCAACTCTTCCTGTTTTTCTGGACGCTGCGTTTTCTCTTGACATGGCTGACGTGCCCAGCCCTGGCCTGGTGACCCCAAAGGCTGATGTTTCGGGTGAAAAGCCCCCAGAGTCCTCATGAATTCAGTGGGTCGCTAAGCACAGTGAGCGGATGAAGTGCTCGCGGCATTTTCGCGTCTGCAGTGTGAGCAGGCGCCCTCACTGGGGACTGGGCGCGCTGGAGGGGTGAGAGGGTTCATGGCCTTCACAAGACCTTTGTCAAGGTGTTCCACTCAAAGATGCCGTAAAAGTGCTAAATAAAGATGAGATGAATTGAGCTGGAGTAACACCAAAACATTCCTTAACAAATGATGCTATTTCTGAACCACCCCCATGGACCTTGTTTCCCTTATTCCCACTTTTCTGGGAAAAGGTGCTTAACGCAGTGGAACAAGCGCAATACGGTTGACCAACATTTTGGAATTCTGAGGTCATTTTTTCTATTTTCTTTTTTTCACATAGTTTCCTCTTTGTTGCAGTTTGTTTTAAAAATTGCTGCTAAAGAGTCATCTGCTGTTAAAAAATTGAAAAGACATGACTTAAAAGTTATTTCAATCCAGGCATTTATTTTATTGACGACTCGGTAGTAGCCTGCTGAAAATTACATCTTTACTAAGAAGTAATTTCTTGATACCTTCGTTGTGACGTGTAAATAAGTGGCCAAGGAGGGTGTACGTGGCAGGCGTGAGGGGCCAGGCTGCCGGGGCGGCAGGGTGCTGACGTCCGCTGGACAGTCAGGGCCCGGGGCACCCTCGCTTCCCACGCGGCTCCACGCAGCGTGCGGTGTCCGTGGCAACAGAGCGCCTGCAGAGTGAAAACTTACCTGGGGATGATTTCATGGCCACGCAAAAGCGCACCAACAGATCGCCTTTCTCCAAAGAGCCACTCTCCGGGCTCCCTCCCGAACACTGCCGGCCGGCCGGCGCTGACCTGGCCCAGCGTCTCGGGCCCCCGCGGCGTGTGCCCGGACGCTCCTCCCGCGTGGTCAGGGCAGACTCTCAACCTCCAGGAGCCCTCGAACACCTCCGTTGACTCGAGGGGCATGATCCCCCGTGTCCCTCCTCTCCCAGGGAGTCTGTCACGCCCTCCCACCTGCGTCTGTTTCGGTGAGGTCAATCAACACCTATTGAAACAGAAGAAAAAGGCTAAATAAGATTAGTTTAAATGGCCACTTGTACAGAAAACTGTGCTGAAATAGTTCTGGAGATGAAGTTAATATTAGGGGGAAATAGTCACCTCTGAATCCAAGGACATTTTCAATCTAACCTATTTTAATCTGTAAAAATATATACTCTGAGATTATATTTGACTCATAAAATTTTATTTTCATAAGCTCTTGATTATTATGCCAAAATTCAGTAGATACTGTGATTGCACGAGCACTGAGTGACACTGAGTATTTTTTTGTGCCCATAGTGTACGCAATAAAGTGGTCATTTCCATGAAAATACAAAACCGAGTAGATGCTGTTCTTAAGCAGCACAAAGCCTGTTTACGGGCTGACTCCTTTTTGCTGACAAATAAACTTTATCTTGTAGTGTTACTCACATAGGAATCTTTTGAGAACACTTCCCGTGTTACTTTTCCCTCTTGCCCCCTATTTTAGACTCTGGAGATGCACAAGCGTCCAGCATACACAGTGTGAGTGAGGCCCTGGGCTCCGGACTGGCTTTGGGGCGTGAGATGCGACCCTGGTCGTCCAGGCTCTGCTCCGGAGGGAGGCCAGGCATCGACGTGGACGCTGCAGTTAAGCAGGAAGGACGCGGAGGAAGACGGAGGAGAACAAGGCACCGCTGCAGGGAGAAGAGGGGCCGCCAGCGCACCCACCAGGCGTGGGCCGAGGCTTCACCGTGATGGCGGGTCACTGGACGAAGGCTTCCGGGAGCAGGTGTTTGAGCTGGGACATGAGCAACGGCTGGCACTTTGCTAAAGTGAGGACAAGGGACAGGGGCATCAGGCTGAGGGGGAAAAGGGTGTCCGGGCTCTGGCGCTGGGTCTGGGGGACTGGGCGAGGGCCTGAGGGAGGGAGAAGGCAAGGGCTGGTCGGGGACGGGCTTCAGGCCGGTGGAGACGAGGTCGTGAAGACAGCGTGGCTGTTCCAGGTGCCCAGCAGGACAGGGCGTGCCGATGTCTGTGTTCACAGGAGGCGGCCACGTTCGTGGGATCTCACAGTGCCCAGGCTTCCTGGAGGGCCGCACCGGGCACTGTGGCCACAGTCTCTGTTCTCGGAAGAGGTGAAGTAAAGGGCAGATGCACACACAGGCCACCCCTTCTCTGGGCGTGAACTGCAAGCCACTTTAGCCGGGACGTCCAACCTGCAGCCCATGGGCTAGCTATGAATGCGGCTCAACGTGAAATCATAAATGTACTTAAAATCTTTTTTTTGCTCCTCAGTTTTTGTTAGTGTTTGTATATTTAACGTGGCCCGAGACAACTCTCCTCCTTCCAGTGTGGCCCAGAGACGCCAAAAGGCTGGACACCCCCTGCTAGAGGGACCCTGACCCGTTCAGCCCGCGTCCAGCATCCCCTCTTGGAAGAATCCTTGTGCCTGGGAAGCCGGGCCACACGGCAGGAAACGGGGAGACCGTGCTGTGATCTGGGGAGACAGCTCGGTAGGTTTCGGTGAGGAGTTCACATAGTAAATTTAATCTGGGCCCAATTTCTAAGCTCTTTATGGTTGTAATTTAACTTGGATTTGGCATCAGACGCAATCAGAACAGAAAGAGACAGACTACCCTCAAATATTTGAAGATGCCGTGCAGCCTTCGTGGAAACGGTTAGTTCCCGTCTCCGGTGAGAGGTGGTGTCCGCTGGGCACCGGGAGAGGGAGGTTCCCGGGAGCCTCCACGGGGCGCTTCCCACAGCATCCCCGTCGGCCCCCTTCTCCCTGGAGGGCGGTTCTTACTCCTAAAGCTCAAGGAAAACCCCAGCGGGAATGGTCACCGGTGAATGCATTTAAGAGGCTCCCTGTGTAAACGACTAGTTTGTTACAGCTTTTTAACATCGCACAGATGTGAGCAGTTTATGCAGGGACCGGAAGTTTAGTTTGAGTGGCATTTGCTTCAGTCTCTCCAGAAGCAGATCCCCGGGGCCCAAGTGAACCCATCTTCGCTGGGGCCCGGTTTCTTCTAGAAACCCCCGACCCCACTAACCCTTTCCAAGAGCTGGGTTTGCACGCACGGGTTAGCTAGTTTGTGGATTGTTTGATGGGGATTATTCATGTTTTTTAAAAGGTTTAACTTACTTATTTTCAGAGAGAAGGGAAGGGAGGGAGAAAGAGAGGAGGAGAAACATGGATGTGTGAGACCCACAATACGGGGTTGCCTGGCCCGCAACCCGGGCACGTGCCCTTTTGGTTCGCAGGACGAGGCCCAGCCCACTGAGTCACACCAGCCAGGGCTCAGTCTGTTTCTAGTCCAGGTTTACTTCATTCATTGTTTCAGAGAAATGTTGGTTTGCACCCATCCTATCCCAATGAACACCTGGGAGGATACATTTATTTTTAAAACAGGGCCAATAAAGACAATTAAAAACATAGATGCCTATCCTGCCCATCTGCCCCCCAAACCTAGGATACATTCCAAAGACACAATGTAAAAAGCGTTTGAGTTGCTTGAACCTTGGAAAAAATCTCTTTTAAGTTTTCAATTACTTCCTCTGGAAATTCACATGTAAAATAAAGGGGTTCTAACAATTTCCAACGCAGACATAATACTGAACCTTTTGGACAAGAGTCACATTTCCGTGTAGGAGTAGCAGGTGTGGGCAGCCCCGAGGTGACAGGCTCGGAGGAACAAACGGGCACCTGAAGCTGTTGGTGCCAGCGGGCTCTGGAAGGACCCGCGGGCTCATCCTGAGCAGAGCAGACCTCTCTGCACACGACGCTGTAAATGCCGGTTCCAGAGACGCTAGGCGCAGAACAGAGCACGTGGAGCGGGACCAGGGGCCGCTGCTGACCACCCCCAAGAAATGCAGCTGGTCCCCCGTGAAGGCTGCAGAGCACACGGCGGCCGGTCCGGGCAGCTGGGGCCGCGGCCCCAGGAGCCCCGTGGGGAGCCAGCCCCGCGCCCCGCTGAGCGACGCGGGTGCCGGCAGGTCCGTACCGCTCCCAGGCCCCTGTGAGTCTCCGCGGTTCATCGGCTGCAAGCGTGTGGGGGGCCTAGAGTGAGTCGACTGTGGGTACGGGCTCAGTCCTTCTGCGCAGGGGGCAGGGGCGGGGGTTTCAGAAGCTACTGTGGGGAAATTAAAGATGAAGAGGAGGACAGAATTGCAAGGCAAGTTCTGCCATGATTTAAAGCAGCGCTGCTAGGCCGGGGGTCATTTTGTCCCCGAGGCAACAGCTGGCAATGTCTGGAAACATTTCGGTTGTCTCGGCTTGGGGCCAGGCGGGTACTGTGCATCTATGCAATGCACATGCCATGGATGCTGCTGTATGTGCAGGCCATGCATGTGTACACGGACCATGTAAGTATACATAGATCACGTAAGTATACACAGGCCACATGTGTATATGCAGGCCACATATGTATACTCAGACCACATAAGTATACACAGACTACATATGTATGTGCAGATCATGTGAGTCTATGCAGACCGTGTAAATATACGCGGGCCATGTAATTATATGTAGACCACGTATGTATACACCGATCACCTATGCACACATAGACCATGTAGGTATACATAGACAATGTAAGAAATGTCCAGACCTACAGAGAATTTTTATGAGTTTGAACCAAACTGAGGACATCAGCCGGGCAGCAAGACGCAGAACGCTCCGCAGAGTAACAGTTTGCAGTTTTTTATGCCTTTCAGATTAGGGAGAGGATGTAAAGGAAGATTTCATGAAGGGGGGAGGAAGCAAGGGGAGCACTGGATCACGGGGGTAAGACTGTGTGCCCTCAGTCTTCAGAAGGAGGGGTCCGGAAGGGGCATTTTGAAAGTGTGTTCACCTAGATGCGTGGCCACAATGGGCAGGGCTCACGGAAGGCAAAGCGAACCATTCACAGGGAATCACAGGCAGCGGCCTTAGGCACCTGGGGTCAGGCCACCTGTGAGCTTACTCTCCGTCAAACCCTTTTTATCATCCCCTGCGTGTGTAGACCATGAATGTATACAGAGACCGTCTATACCCGCCGACGGGATACAAAGGACAATGCACAGGACAGCCCCTCCAACGGAGAATGATCAAATCCAACACTTCTACAGGGTGAGGATGAGAAACGGTGATTTAGATATTTCTAAACATTTTAACTTGCTATTTTAAGTCTTAGTGAACTTCAGAATTCTACCGACTTATCTGGGTGTCTAGATAAACTCCAGTGAATGTAAACAGTTACATGCACTGGGAGAGTTTCCTCGCGGCTCGGTGCCACCCAGCATGGGGAGTTAGTCACTAAGTGCCACTTTATCTCAAAGGGAGCGTGAACACCAGAGTCCATACTCGGGGAAGCGAAATGTCGAGGGGCACAAACAAGCAGCTCCACCGCCAGTGGGCAAACCCCCTTTTCTGCGTCAGACCCCGAGGACCCCAGCGTGTGCAGGACGAGGGAAGGTCGGGGTGGAATTCGGGAAAAAGCATTTATCCTTTAAATGAATTCTATTTTAAGCACCATACAAGGTCACTTAGAGTAACTGAATAAATACTTAGCCAGTTTCTGTTTTTCTTCTTTATCACACCAATAAGCCAGAGTCATTGAAAATGGCTGCATTGCCAGTTCTCCTGAGGGCAGACAGGCTTCCTCCATAAGGGGCTGTTCTAGCTCCTCTGGGGAAACTTTCCGCTGTCGGAAATGCCTTCTGATGTGAAAGAAGCTGAAGTTTACCTTGGCTGCCACCCCTTCCTGTGGCACCGTCACAGCTTGCACACTGTAATGCTTGCACGGACCTGCCACTCACACGTGCTCGTCGGCAGGAAAGCCCCTCCCGGCCGCGGGCCCGCGGGTGCTGCTGCCTTTGGCACTGCACACTTGGAGTGGCGGGGGTGGGCGCAGGAAGTAAGAGCTGATCTCTGTCGGGGACGCCACGAACCCATAAAGACCCTCGTGCACGTAGCTCGGAATGGAGAGTCCTCAGCCCCGGTTTTGTCTGTGTTTGTGCTGGGCCCTGAATTCTGTTTGTTTAGAGGTAAAAAATAAAACAAAGCTGTAACAGAAGAAGAAAAACTGCAATGGAGAGCATGACTTAATTATAAATGCCTTCGCTTGAGCTGTCGTTACTTGAATATAGTATCTAAAAATGTAAAGGCTACTCATTCAAAACTGAACCTGAAGTCGTTCACAAAACTTTTAATTTACTTCGCTAAGATCGCCTCTTGGCAAGCTGCCATCTAGGTGATACACTCTCCGTTCCCCCACTTGGGAAATAAATAAATATATATATATATTTGTTATTTTACTCTTTTTACATCTAGACTCCATCCTAACACAAAGCAGATTAGTTGGCTGGCTACGTTCCAGCTATCTAGACAGTGGCAAGGTGACCCTAAGAAAGCTAACATGGTAAATCCAAAATGGCCAAATAACTTCTATTTTGTGCTTTCAACAGACGCTGTCAACTCGGCATGTCCACAGCGGGATTACGCGGGCAGTGGCCACGCGTCCCCAGGGCCCCGGCAGCTCTGCAGGGGCTGCCGTTCCCCGCACTGTCTCTCCCAGTCAGTACCTTCTGCTTCAAGCTGAGCGATCAGGGAGCCCCACTGGCCATGCATCGTTCCCCGGAAAAAGCACTTGAGAGTCCATTTCAGACCTTAGACATTCTTTCCACTGACCTTTAAAGAAAAATCACAAACTCAGAGCTCACTGGGTTTCGGGCTGTACCATGGCTTACTTTTTTCTTAAAGGGTGGGCAGAAGGTCTGCTCTTGACGAATGTCTTTTTCTGGAGCTTTTTTGGTGAGCGTCCCTTTCACGAGGCTCAATCCTGTTGATTCAAGAGTCCATGAGAGAAAGTGAGTCTTTGGTGAGACAAATCCATGTCTTCAGAACATCCTGGCCCTGGACTAGAGTGAACCACTGACAAAGAATGGTTCCATGACTTGGTGCATTTTTTACATTTTCTGTTATACCCATAGAAATGGATATCAGGGTCAAAGGATTTAAGAAAATCAATCACAAACTACTATGAGGAAAGACAACTTCTTTTCCCCCTTTTTATCAGTTGAAACTCAGCCCTTGCCAAGTAAAGGAGGATTTTCAGTTCTGTGGTACAGCACTGGAGAAGATTAATTGGATTTTCTGGGGCAATAGGACAAGCGAAGACAAACACAGCTAAAATCACTCCTCAGTCCATCCTGTTCCCAAAGAACAGAACAGTAGCGATGCAGTCAGCAGACTGGGGTCCTTTTGTAGGAGAG